CAGCTATACATGAAGTTGAAATGAAAATCCAAAAGTTGAAATGTTTCAACTTTGGTAGTCAAAATCGAAATGAAAAGTTGAAATAGTTGAAATGACATCATATTACATGATTTTTATATATAGAAAAACAAAAAAAACTAAAGATGTACGATCTCAGTCAATATTACTCCAATTTGTATGTATGAAATAACTACCATTTGATTCTTCACGACTAGATGAATCTAATGAACTAACATTCATTGATTTTGGAATAGCTAAACTTGAGATATATGTGATCGAATTTTGAAATCCAGACTCCTTGAATTTAATGATTTATAATTTCTGTCGATAATACAATTGTGATTATCTGAAGATTGGATGATCTGAATTCAATGAATATTAGCGATTAGATTCGCTTAATCACGAGGAATCAAATAGTAGTTGTTTTATATGAATTGGAATAATATTGACTGAAATCGTACATCTTTTGTTTTTTTTGTTTTTTCTATATATAAAAAATCATTTGATATGATTAAAGATGGTTCTTATAATTATTTTTAAAATTTTTAACTAGTTGCAACTTAAATTGCAACACTTTGAATTGCAACTATTTATGAATTTTTATATTAAAATAAATTTACAAGGAGTTGCAACTAAGTTGCAACTTCTTAATTATGGTATCTATCTTTAGATATGATGTCATTTCGACCAATTTGACTTTTGACCTCCAATAGTCAAAATGATTTCAACCATTTCGACCATTTTGGATATCTGAAATGATCTATTTTGACTTTATGTATAGTATCAGCTGTTGGAGTCAAAGTTGACAGCTGAGTTGACTCTACAAAAATCAAGTAGAATCGACTTCAGAATTTTCAATGACTAAGCTGTGACAAAGTTGTTGTTTCAAATTTGATATAGAATCAGAATATTATGAAATTTTTAATTAAATAAAACTTCAAATTTTTAGTCAAATGAAATTCTTGACAACATTATTTATGATGAAACTTATAATTATCTACTTTTTACAACATTAATTAAATTTTAATATATTAATAATACAATTATGGTCACTAATTTCAAATAAAATTTTGACTTAGTCATTGACTAAGTCGACTGAAAAGTATCTAACAACTGAGTGAGTTGACTCCAGAATTTGTCACGACTGGTATTATTAGATTCAAATCAATAGTAAAGCTATCTTCAAAGCTTCAGTGATAGCTTTTACTAAGAAAACTATAGTAAAAAACATCTTCACAGCTTTGAAAATACCTTTTTTACTAAAAAAAACCATAGCAACAAATACTTTCATAGCTTTAAAAATGCTTTTTTATTAAGAAAACTATAGCAAAATTGTCTTCATAGCTTCAGAAATGCTTTTTTACTAAGAAACTATAGCAAATAGTGCTTTTGCAACATTGGAAATGCCTTTTTTACTAAGAAAAATATAGTAAAAAAATACTTTCATAACTTCAGTGATGTTATTTTACTAGAAAAATATAATAAAAATACTACTGCAGCTTCAAAAACTAAGAAAATAGTAAAAAATGCCTCTGCAACGTTATTTTACTAAAAACTATAGTAAGAAAACCTCTGCAGCCTTAGAGATATTATTTTACTAAAAAATATAGTAAAAAATGCTTTTGCAGCTTCAAAGATAGTTTTTTACTAAGAAAGATAGTAAAAAACGCATTTGTAATTTTGGAAACTTTTTTATTAATAAAATAGTTTCAAAGTCATGATAGCAGTTATTATTAAGTTTTCTTAGTAAAACTGAAGCTTCAATAGTAGTTATTACTAGGTTTTCTTAGTAAAACTAAGACTGTATAATTATTTTACTAAGATGATTTAGTAAGACTAAAGCTATAAAGTTTTATTAAGTTTTTAATAGTAAAAATTTACCTGTTACTAAACTTACTTTATAAAAGCTATTTTTGAAATTTTTTAGTACAATTACTAATAATTTTCTTAATTAATCTTAATTAAAACTTTAGAATAACTTTATTTTAATATATCATTGTAAAAATTAAAAAATTTTTTATATTTAATTCAATTTGATCAAATATTTGATTTGATTTAATTTGATTTAATTCGACAAATATTTGATTCAATTTGATTTGATTAAATATTTGAGTGCAATTCAATTCAATTCAATTCAATTTGAAAAAATTAAATTAAATTCAAATTGCTTAAATATTTAATTTGATTCAATTTTAAGAAATCTAAATTTAAATATATTTTAGCCTAAAAATCATATTTAACATATAAAAGTAAAATTGATTTTTCCAGTAGTTTTTATCTTTTCTATTGCAAAAATCCTATATATTAATAAATAAGCATTATCTCTGTTAACACTTTATATTGTATAAATATTTATATTAAATTAAATCATCTTATTTTTTAATATATTTAAAAATATTATTCGTTATTATTATATAGAAGTAATTATATTAGAGTATTCAAAGATACAATATATAAGAAATATAATAAATATATAAGATATAAGATTTATATGATAAAGAAAATATAGAAGACATATATAATATATTAATCATTACAATTATATATATTATTTAGGTTATTTATATCAGCTTTATGTAATATCATATTTTTTCAAGATTTTTGTCTGTATAAGATCATTATATTCAATATATAAGTTCATAATCATTTTTAAAGTAGTATTTCTTATTCTTACAATTTATTTAAATTCTAAAAATTTAAAATATAATAAACTTAAATAGATATGTAATAATAATAGTTAGTAAATTTTCTAAATATATTGATTATATGAAAACTTTACAGTAAAAAGATACAAAATTCTAAAAAAAAAAATTTTTTTGAATTAATATTAAATTTCAACTTATTTACTAAAAAATATCTATTTTTTTTGATATTTGATTTATATAATACTAAGGTTTTATTTATATAATATTTTTGAAATCTTCTGAGTTTTTAATTTTTTATTAATATAACTGGTCAGATAATATATATTAATAATACTATTTCAATTTTATACTATTTATTGGTATTTTAAAGATCTTTCTATATATATTATATACTCTATTAGCAAGATCAATATGAATGTAACATAGATTTTCTATTAATTTTCAAGTTTCTTTATTATAAACATTAATTTTATATTAAAATTAAATATTTTACTTTAAATGGTTGTATTTTAGCAATTTTTTATTATATTATTTCTTTTATTTTATTAGGATTTCTTAATACTTAATATTTAATTATTGTATCATTAATTTTATTATTTATTTTCTATTATTTATTATATATAGTTTAATAGATTTGTTATATTAACTGATATTTGTGAAATTATATGACTAAGATTGCTACCTTAAACTATTAAAAATTATTTCAATTAAAAAAAACTATTTTTCCTATTTTTAATACTTAACTAAACTAGTTTTAGTAAATTTAAACTATCAAATTTTAGTTTTGAATAACAATAATATATGTGATTATCATTAAATTAAAATTTTATAAAGCTGTGTAATATTCATTTTTATAATTTGTATATTATTTAAACTTAATAAAACTAATAAATTAAAGGTTAAAACATATAAGGTCTTTGCAATAGAAAGGAGGAGAAAAATTAATTTTACTTTTATTTGCCAAATATGATTTTTAGGCTGAAATATATTCAAATTTAACATTAACTTATTTTTGATTTTTCTTGCAGTTTTCCCCCTTTCAATTTATTGTAAAGGTCTCATATAATTTATAAAAATTAAAAAAATATTGCTATTTATAATGAATTATATATAAAATCAATAAAATAATAATTCATTTTATTATAATTAAAATATTTTAAGTATGTATTTATTATTATTTATTAATATATAGGATTTTTGAAATAAAAAAATGGAAAACTCTTTGGAAAATCAATTTATTTTATTCAAATTTAGTATTAACTTATTTTTTATTTTTTTCTGCCAGTTTCTTCCTTTCGTTTGCAAAGATTTCATATTATATAATAAAAATCAAATCTTTTAGTTAAGATTAAAAAGTTTAAATTAAATAAACTTGATTGACGATCTGCATAATTTTTTGAACGTTAAAATCAACAACCAACCAAATTCGATGACGATTTTAAAAAAAATATTTTTGTTTTTGACTCTTTTTTTTTTTTGATTTAAATATTTTTTCACAACAATTCAAAAATTACTTCAAACACTTTTATTAAAACATTTTTTAGTCGTTTACAACGAAAAAAAATGTCAGGTCCAATTAATATTTCATCGATCGAATATATCAAACAATCCGAACTCGCCCGAATTATGAAAGATATCACTCAAATTCCTGGGAAAGATTACCTTGTGGTTGATGTTAGAGATGATGATTACGAAGTAAATAATAAATCTTAATATTTTTACCATCAAATTCGCTAAAATTATAATTACAAATAATGAAACATTTCCAAATAGGGAGGTAATATACCATACAGTATTAACAGCCCTTCTCATAAAATACATGATCATATTGACGCTCTTGTTTTCAAGCACAATCAAGGTAAAACTTTATCAAAGAAAATTTTTTTTAATTAACATCGATTTCTCATTTTTTGTCACATTTAGTACCTAGGATAATTTTTACGTGCGCTTTATCTCAAGTTCGTGGCCCAAAATGTGCAAGAATATATAAAGAAAATACAACAAACAAAGATCAAAAGGTTCAGGTATTACAAGGCGGATTTAGCGAATGGCAAAGAGAATATAAGGATGATCCTCAACTCGTCGAGAAATATGTTGCTGAGCATTGGGAATATGAAGATTATTAGTAATATATAACCTTTTGGAGGCTATAAATAAGATTAGAGATAATACAGTATATTAATGTAATAGAATAATTCTCATTATCATTATACGGTATACAATTTTTTATTCGTAACATCATTAATAAAACTATTCAAATATTTTTTTCAATCAAAGTTGAATTAAAATCTTGTTAACCAAAGATAAAATTGACATTTGGTTACAAGAAAGTTATTCCCGCAAAAATTAAAATCATTACAGATAAAACATAGTAACGTTGACACTGCTTCCTTCAAAAGCTTTGTTAATAGAATTTCTAACAAACTCCAAAGACAAACCATCCAAACCCGTTCCAATTCTAGGAATACTTAACCCTTTGACACCAAATTTTTCACACATCCTTCTCAATTCAATTAAACTATTTTCAAAATCTTTTTGAGCAGGTTTATCATAAACACCAGATTTGGTAATCACATAAAAGATATAACGACCATCACGTTGAAGATAAGCAACTTGACCAACTTCACATTTTTGAGCCTTTAAATTTTCCACTCCATTGAATTTTTTCTTAAAAAAATCTGCGATGCCTTTACCCATTCGAAGATCTCGAGAGACGCAATGAGCTAATGCATCAGTTGATGGTGAATCAGTAAACAAATCTCCTTTTCGTTCTACAAGCGTGAATTTTTCAGATGTTGCTGATGGAGTTGCAGGAGTTGGTGGTGGAGCTGGTGTTTCTTGTGGCGACGGAGTTGAAGGATACGTTTCTCGTGGAAGGTTGGACATCTAAACAATATAACAAATCAGATAAATAAAAAGATTAGTTTAGACGGTTACTCCAGAAAAAATAGATAATTCATACAAACCTCAAATAAATTTCGTTAATTTGAAATAGCGGAAATTCAATGATAAAAAAACTATTTGCTCTAGAAATTTTTTATATTAAATAAATTATTATTATATAATTGACAACTTGAAAGATATCTTTTTTTTTTTTTTACATAAACATTACCTTATCTTTTTTTTATCTTATGAAAAGAAAGATTTAACAATGAAAAGAACAAACAAGAATGGCAAAATGAATATTATATATACTTGAGGATATCGATAACGTGTGAATCAACACCGATTTAGTCCACTATGATTTTAAAATGAATTCTGAATGATGTCATACAACAATTTGAATGATGGCGCAGTACACATCCCCTTTTAAAACGGGGAATTTTTGAATAAATGGTAATGAATTGATTTATAATACTTTTAGTTCTTGTTTTTTTATTAAGTGTAAAGGAAAAGAGAGAATGTGATGTGAAATTTTGTTACATGATTATGAAATGTTGTTTCAACTTAAATAATTATAATTTACAAAAAAAAATGAAAATGATATCATTATTCCATTGAAGAATATCTTACGCATTCATACAATAAGTTAGGTATTTCTACAGTAATATAATTGTTCATATTTAATATTTTAGAATTTAGTAAACGTTCCTTTGTGATTCATAATCAAACATTCGCGCTTGCATTCCCATTCCTATCCATGACTGAACCAATCGACACAGTTTTAATGTTTGTCAATTCTATATTGTCTTCCTCAAAAAACCATTCACCCAATATAACACCTCCCAAGATAATCAAAATCAAAACCTCCGGAAGAGACTCGAATACATAAAAGATCCAACTATATTTATTGATTTTATTGATTTTATCGGTAGATGGAGCGAAAATTATAAAAGTTCTGTAAATTAATCCAATCAATAATAAGGCTCCAACTATATATAAAACCAAAACCTTTAATTGTGATTGTAAAGGTTTATTGCTATATTTCAATGCGAAATATGTGATAAGAATCATATAAAAAACCATGCTGGTCAGAAAACATATCGTTGAAACTTTTATCATAATGTCTCCTTTTGCTAATGAATGTTCCGGAGATACCAGTGTATTTGAATCGAATTCTTTTATTGATCCTATTACAGCGAGTAATGAAAATGCCGGGAGAAGAAACTTTATAATGTTTATAGAGTACCGTTCATAAACTGTTAATTTTGTTGAACGTAATAGCGAATTTGAATTCTCGGTTGTTATCTGTGAGACATTTGCGATAGTGAGAACCCAATCTATTAAAAGGTTGTATACTGCCAAAATTATTATGAAAGATGCGCCGGAGATTAAAATTCCTGAATTGATAGCGAGTATTTTGTTTTGAGTGTCTTTCGACCACGCGATTCGTATAATAAATAATATTGTCCTTAAAAAACTAAATATGAATAGCAAAAAGTAAACTCGACGCCGGGTTTGTATTATCCGGTGAAGTTGAAGACATGTTGTAAATAGGAAAAGGACGCTAAAAATGATCGAAGGAATTATAGTCGGTATTGAAGATATAAAAACAAATTGTGATGATGTTGGCATGTTTTGTGTTTTTTTTTAAAAAATTAAATTTTGAAGAAAGGTTTTGATAATAGAGAAAAAAAAATATTTTTTTTTTCGTTTGGAATTTCAATTACAGGAAGTGAATAATAATAATATTATGCACGATGGTAGTTATATAAGCACTAAGCACTATACATGACCATTTATATCACGTTCTACCGAATTTCGTCTGGATTATAAGATTTTTTTCTTTGTTTTTTTTTTAAAAAAAAAATAGAAAAATAAATAATATATATCCACGTATTTTTTTTTTTTCAAAGTAAAAAATTAAAAATTTTTTTTTTCTGACGAAATTATGCAAAGAAATAGTAAATAAATATACACACTTATAATTGGGAATTATGAGTAACCTTTCTTGGCATCACATGATTCTATTAACATTGACTACTTTAAATTGCCAAGCATAAAAGAAATATTGTTTCTGAACGCCAAGATTGCTATTTTATTAGTGCATTTAATTTTTTCCTACCAAGTTTAAAACTATTAAGGGAATTCTAATTGTTGTGTAAATAAAAAAGATTCAATATAAATTTTGAATCAATCAAAAAGAAAATTTGAAGAGTGATTTATATTTTGCCAAGCCATTTCACGTGATTACCGTTCTATAAAAGGTCAAAGTTTTGACGGTGCAGATTTCGATTTCTTGGCAACAATTGATCGTGGCGCAGTATGTTTTCGAAATCTTAGAATGTAATGTTCTAAACATTTACGTGACGCAGCAACGAACAATGATTCGTTCAACTGGCAAATTATGTCATTTCCAGTTAGTTATTTTTAAGACTTGGCAAGAAACAGTGAAATCATTTGCTAAAAATGAAATTGCCAAGAATTTAACAAGGTTTTTTTAATTTCCGTTTAATTACTTAAGATACGCGAATCCGCAGTTATTCATGAATTACACGGCTTTGGGGTGAACATCATATCCATTCTGCTCAATTATGATCTTTTTGTAACATAGGTTCAAAATCAAAGGGTCATAAATACCTTTTTGAACATGACTTGCAGCATATGACAAATTTGCAAAAAAAAAGTAATAATATTGTTCAGTATATGTGGGTTAAAACAATTAAATAAAATAACTTTAAACTGAATTAGACCATATTCACGCTACTTTACTCATTATTTTCGCACCTACAACTCTTTAGATTAGATTAATGGTCAGTTTACATAGAATTTAAATAACAGTCCAATCAAAAAAAAATTGTGAAGCTTATCTGAATTGTTTAAGGACTGAAAGGCAACTAAGACAAAGGTTCTAATTGCGTCAATTTATACCTGACATACATTTGTGTTAACGTCGTGCAAAAATGCATACAAAATAGGACCAAATAAGCTTTAATACTAAAATCGGCCTATTGTAAATGTATACGGACCGGATTTCGATTGGAACGGACTTTTTTAAATTGATTACCATATATGGCCGAATTCAGATCAAAATCACAAACATGTGACAATTAGGGTTGGTAAAAGTCCTGATTAATTTTAAAAAAATTATTAGTTTTAAAGATTAAATTTTTAAATTTTATCATTATATTCAATTTTTTAATTAAAGTTACTTATTAAAATAAGTTCAAATTTCATTTTAAAATTTAAAATATCTTTAAAATTTTAGACCTAGGACCTAAGTCCTAGGACCAGGTCCTAAATTAAGTATATT